TATGAATTAATCTTTTTATTAAAAAATATCATTCAATACATTTATTTTTATTAAAAGTAAAAAAATGGAATAAAGGGTACAAAAACTACAATTTATAATTTTAATCATCTTCCTCTTCATCGTCGTCTTCCGGCTGCTGGTAAATTTCAAACTGGTCTTCATTATCGTCTTCAACGACATTTGTTTCAAGTTCTTCCATGATTTCGGGGTCAAAGGTTCCATCTTCGTTAATGTCGCTCTGATATGGTAGAGCATTGAGACAAGCTTGCCCATTACATTGGCCACAAGCTAAAGAGCATTGCAAGCCTGCTTTCCTGGATCCGCATCGCGAACGACAACCACTCTTGCAGTTGCAGAAAATTGTATTTAGCAAATCTTCTGGAGCAGGTGGTAAAATTGTCATGATAGGTTCCAGAAAATCGTTTCGCATTGCCCAACCCCATACCTGGTAATATTTGCAGCTTGTAATTTTTCAATTAACATATTAATGAGCATATCTTTGTTATTTCGATTTGATGAGAATTTTTCTTGTGTAACTGGTACAACCATTGTTTCATCGAAACAGACTTCATACGTTTTTGAAAGTGCAGCAGTTCTTCTCTGCTGCTCCATAGCTTTTACATTCTTACTGTAGTCTGAATTTTTTTAAACAAAATTTGTAGAGAATTTTGTATTCTACAATATTGATAATAAATACAAATAGCAAAAAACCCATAGAAAATGAGATATTTACAAAAAAAAACGCAAAAAAAACGATTTTTGTGACCTTTGACCTTGAAATTTAATAATTGCGCACACCCTACCATATGTAGGTTTTGAGACAACTTTTAGGGTGTCAATATACAAGTATTTACAGACTTACAGCTGGGTATCTCGAATTCCGAGGTGAACTTACTATAATGACTGAACTAATACGACAAATGTCAGGTGAATTCAACACGAGTGGTCTAAAGCGCTCGAATTTAAATTCATATGCGACTTTGTGGACCGTAAATATGAATGTGGAAGATTTTGATAAAATTAACATTTGCTGGCTGTTGAAAATCAAAACATTATTAAAGAGTGACAGCATAGAAGGAAGAAGTTTGTTTATAAAAATTCCTTTTGAATTAATGATGTGTTATTTATCAAGCATTTTCGACTTTATAAGGAAGTGTTTCGTGTTTCTCAAACTTTTTTGGCGACGGAACCTTTTTGAAAAGCGAAATATTTGACGGAGCTCTAAACACATTCCTAAAAAAAAAGTCCTTAAGCCAGGTCCCTCCCTTTTGTGGCGATAGTACTGCTTTTTTTTATTGTGACTATTATTTTCTTCGCGGAGCCCCACAAAGGCTTTGCGGAGCCCCGGGGCCCCACGGAGCACACTTTGAGTAACGCTGTCTAAGGAATCAACGCGGCTCTTGATATATATTGTAACTAGCATGTTATAACGCCCCCAAGAAGAGTATCAGCAGGATGTTTTCGTGACATATTTTTAATATTTCGTTTTCTGATTTGCATTGCAATATTGCTGCTCTTCCATATTTATAGAAGTAAAAAATCACAGCTTAAAAAAATTCTGCAATTTGCTTCAAAATTGTCTAAACTTTTTAGCATAGAAAGATTCTAATAAATATACAGAACACAGAACACCCTCTAATGTTGACAGTTTACATAATTTCCGACGTTGCCACATACAATCCTCCGCATTATTTCTCGATTATGATTTTAGATTCACTTATTTTCAAGAATACGATTTTTAACAACTATGCGAATTTGGTATGCGACATTTGCCGTGTGCGACAATTTTCATGCGAGACTCGAGAATTCTACCCCAGGAAGCATTAGAGTCGAATGGTTTATTTACGAAATTCCAAGAAAGTCTGCTGAAGATGTCAAGTAAATATGGCCTTTTGCCTAAAAAGATTTGAATAAAATTGTTTTAAAATATTACATATAATAATAATAGTTTATTATTTGCCAATAAAGGATGTACAAAAATACAAAATATAAAAAAACAAAAATACACTAAATACACTAATTAGGCAAATAAAAGGTTCGAGTGATAGGTCATAAGACCAATTTTACCTCACTCGCCTTGAAAAAAATAAATAAGTAAAATAAAGAGTCAAAATATACATATCTAGATTAATTCAAAAATACAGTTAAAAGAATAATTAACTAGTGAAAGGAACCTTAATCTATATTAATAAATTTTAAAAATCACAAAAAAAAAACTTAAAATTTAAAATGTCTGTTCGCGTAAAAAAATTTGTTTGTATTTATTTTTAAAAGCTGTTAATGAAAGACTGAAATTTGGTATATCAAGAAGATGACTGTTCAATGCAATTTGGTAGCTAAATGATTTTTTTAATATTTGTTTATTATGAGATGGAATGGTAATGGCATTCTTTTTCCTTAAATTAATATGAGGGACGTCGGTCCGAAAACTTATCTTTTGATGTAAGTATGAGGGAATTTTGGTCTTAACTATTTTATAAAATAAACAGAGAGAATGAAGTTTCCGACGATTAAACATGTTCAGCCAATTGGCCTCTTTTAATTTATAAGAAACCCTCTTCCTTCTCCTTATGCCATAGATCATCCTTAAACAACTATTTTGTACTTTCTGAATTCGATTCTTATCAATTAATCGTAAAAAAGAACCATATACCGTGTCGCAATGATTAAAGTGCGATAAAACAAGAGAATCAGTAAGCATTTGTTTAGTTGCAGTAGACAAATCTGTTCTATGTGGATAAATTAGTTTTAGGGAAGAGTAGGCTTTCCTAACCTTCTCGTTAATATGTTTATCGAACCTTAATTGAGAGTCAATAGTCAAACCAAGATTTTTACACGAGGAACTAATTTTTAAAATTTCATTCCCTAAGGTGATTTGTATTTGTGGCAAGATCAGCTGTCGGTTATTTTCACTGCAAAATACAATAACATAACATTTTGTTGAGTTGATATGCAATGAGTGTTTTTCAGATGCACTTACAAGAATAGGGAGATCGTCATTAATACGCCTGACCGACTCTTCAATTTTAGACAGTTCAAAAGAATAATAAATTAATGTATCATCAGCATATAAATGGCTCTTACAATGATTTAGATGTGAATGTAGGGAGGATGTATATAAGGTGTACAGTAATGGGCCAAGAATGCTGCCCTGAGTGACACCTTTTCTGACTAACAAACAATTAGAGAAAGTGTTGTTAAGAGCCACCTGTTGAACCCGGTTTGTTAGATACGAAGTTATAATTTTGATCGACAAATGGCTGAGACGAATAAAATGCAAAATTGCTAATAGAAGTTTGTGGTTCAATGTATCAAATGCACGTGAATAATCAATTAGTACTAATGTGCATACTTTATTTGCATCAAGTGAGCGCAATATGTCATCGGTAACATCGGCTAAAGCGGTTGAACACCCATATCCACTTCTAAATCCTGATTGGGTTTTGGGAAGAATATCGAATTTTTTTTTATATGCAAATTTAGTTGTTTTTCTAAGAGTTTTTCAAAAATTTTGGAAAGGACCGGGAGAATGCTTATACTTCTTAGTTGATTTAATTGTAGCGGTTGGGAGACTTTAGGTAGAGGAATGACATATGCATGCTTCCAAGCAGTGGGAAAGTAACCAACATTTATATACATTCGTTAAATATATGTGAAATATACTTTAAAATAAACGGACAACAAATTAATATGATATCGATATTTAAATTATCACTTCCGTAAGCCTTAGATTTAGTTGTTTTTATGATTTCCAAAATTTGGTCTTCATTGAAATTGGTGAATTGAAATTCTTCACGCACTTTATGGCAAATATTGTTGTTATAGCATTGAAAGGTGTTCATATCAGGATCAGTAATAGTAGGATCACCAATAAAGAAATTATTTAATTTGTTTACGTCGCTCAAATTTGAAGGTAAATCACGGTTTTTATTAGCTTTAATATTAAGTCTATGTAGTTCACACCATTTCTCTTTAGAATTGCAGCGGGATAATCTGTATTGCAAGTATGCTTTTTTTTCTCTCTTAATAGAAGCAGAAGTAAAATTTCTGAGTTCCTTATAGTACTCCCAGTGAGCAGGCAGTTTAGATTTACGATACTTTTTTAAAGCCTTATCTCTGAGTTTTTGTAGTAGTTTGATATTGTCTGTAATCCAGGGTTGTTTTTTAATGTTGTGTAAAATAGTGCGAGTTTGAAGAGGTGCAAACTATGTCTTAAAACATAGACATCCAATTAATTCGTCACCTTCATATTCACCAATAAGAAGAGAGGATGGGTTAGATATAATTCAAGCATCATTTAAATCAATCTGTACGTTTTTTGAAATATAAATTGTTAATGCATAATAATTAAACAAATTTGTGTTTTCTGTTAAATGAATCTTTTTAGCGAATAATAAATAATAATGTTAATTCTTATAGAAATTTTACATTATTCACAGGTATGTCTACATAATTTAATGGTTCCAGATCATATGTTTACCTTTTCAACTGTCAAAAAATTTCCACTTAAATATCGTGCTACCTCGAAAAAAATTCCTGAAATTTTTTTAGTTGCCATGGTAACTAGTCAAAATTAAGGCATATTATTGGTTGAAAAGTAGAGGTGTGAAATTTTCAAAAACATTAGCATTTGAACTATTGATTTTATTCCAAATTACAGACTCTCTCATTGAGATGTACTGTAGGTTACATTACACTTTTTCGTAATCCTCTGTTTCAATTGATTTTATTTTTCGAAACCACAAACTACGATAAACACCACAGGGTAGTTTTAATATTTAACGATTTTATTGATAAGATTTTTCAAAAATTCGATCATTAAATATAGGGTAGTTTTTACCTACAATTATACGAGTAGTACGAAATAGATGACTCTCTCCTTCTTTACGAAGCCGTTCATTCAGAAAGTCTTGAGAATGGACCATTGATTACCTTTCTTACTTAATCTTAGCTTGCACATATAAATCTCGGGGATCTAGTAGTAATAGTTCATTGTTTTTGTTTATTCTGCGAGATCGACTCGTTAAGAAAAAGAGCGGTTAAAAAAAGTTCAAAATGTGCTCTTTGGAACTGAAAAAACACGTGTTCGTTACCATTTTTTGTGGATTAATGGTGCAGTATGTTCTCAGTGTAAGTTTATTTTTTTTATCAATTTTACAAGAAGACATAAATGTCTCAGGCTATATACATACAGTGTCACCGTTAAAGTCTGGGTCATATAAAACTTTTTTTGATTATTCAAATTACGCAAAATTTGATAAATAATTTTTTCCTTCAAACATTTTAAAAAATGATGTAGATTTTTCTGTCGATCGGCTATACCTGTCAAATTTGGCATATGTTCAAAAAAATTGCAACAATTTCTCAAAATTTCGATTGGTCTATTGATTGGCAGATTTATACTGGTTCATTAAAGTATTATTGGTTTTGTAAAAAAAAAAATGAATATCACATCGGACTTTTAATTTGGTCACATTTAAAATATTAGAATTATATTCTCAAAAAAAATTGTTTTAAAATCACTGCCATAGCAAACTCACACAGCGTGCCAACTTCACCCGTTTAAATAAGACCTATATTCTCTTCGTCTGTATCCTTATGCCCTTTATACAGCATCAGATGGGTAATTTTTCATTAATTTGTTCAAAAGAGAAGTTGTAACTGAAAGAACAAAAAAAAGAAAAAGAATATTAGATCTATTTGTGCAGATTTTATTATATCCGATGAAGAAACTTTTTTGTCTCGACTACATAGACACATTTAGTAAATTTCATAGATCCGTAAAGATGGATTTAACCATGGGAAGTTTTTATTTAAAGATTTCTTTAAAAGAAGTCATAATGGTTTCCCTACAAAATTTTACACTGTTGGTATTGTTATTATGTAATTAATTATAATATTTACCGGAATAACCACAAAAATAAATAAAACATACATAGAATTATACAAGGTGAATCAAAAAGGACTACAAATATTTTAGGAGGTGATAGAACAATGAAAATTAAGATCAGATAAAGCAATTAAAAGGGAGACTGGAAAAACCAGTTTTTCAGTCCTAACTTCTAACCAGAGCAAACTGTCAACTCCAAATTTCTTGGAAATATTAAAAATTTTATGTCATTTGATTTAATTGTAAAACACAATAAAAAAATATTTTTATAGGGGTAGTTTAAGGGGGTGGGTTGGGTATTCTTACCCCCATTTTTTAATTTTAAGTGTTTAAGAAAAACAAATTTCCATTGTTTTTTCTACAAAAGAGGTATTCTTGCATAAATGTGATAGAGTGAAACGTTTTGAATAATTTTATTTTTAAAATGTAATTCCACAATAGATGTTATTCATAATCTTTAATAACATTAAAAGTTTTTCGTATTGTTTCATATATACACTATCAAATAATGAGCTATGGAATGTCACAATTATTTTATTCAAGTAAAAGTGACAATATGGTGTTATCCGGTCTGGGAAATACTAATGCTGCAGTCAAGAGATATATAGAAAAATTTTTTGTTCAAAATGTAGCAAACTTGAGACAATTTGAAAGGAGACTACGCCCGTATGCACTGTACAGGTTCAATCTAGATTAAGGGTTTAATAGCGTTTAGTACCATAATAAAAATCATTCTTAATCCGATTTGATTCTATTCCGTCAATATCGGGGGATTAAATTATTTAATAGAGATTTTATAACGTCAAAAAGATGTCAACGTTTTGTTAGTATAATTTGGAATTTACTATTTGGGTTTCTTTTATTTATTTTATTTGAATTTTATTAAAAAACGGAAATAAAATGCAAGCGTTTCTTGGAAAATGACAAAGATTTTAGATAAAATAGAGAAGTGAATATTTTTATACGATGGGCTACTTTTTATTTTTTAAGAGGTTTTTATATTCTAACGTTACAGCCTAATTCTGTAGATAGATGGCAAATCCAGATATGTTGAAAGAGGAAAAAATAAGTAAGCATTACATATAATACTTATGTGATTTTGTCCACTTTTAAATACGGAAAATATGTCATATCTAATTTTTGAATATGCACAGTAAAAGGAAATTATTCAAATAGGTATATCATTTTGCATAGAAAAGCTTGAAATACAGCAGTTATTATTTATATGTTAAAATTATCAAAATTTAAGATAATGGTATTGCCATCTAACTATAGTATTATTTTTTTAAATTCAAATGACATTCTTCTTCACCCTGAGTAAAATTCGGTATGTATTTACAGTTTTGATACATTTAAAAATATAGGGTTTCTATCTTCAACGGCCTCTTATCCTTTGACGTAAATTTCTTTTACTTAAATCTGAAGGTTTATTCTTCTCTTTTTTTAAAATTTATAAAAATCCAGTGTTGCTAGATTACTAAACTCGATTATCTAATCCGTAGCCGGTACAAAGACAATAACCACTAGTCATTTGCAAATCTGGATTAAATTTTAAACCTGTGCATATGGGCGTTAGAGAAACAAAAAACTGGAAGTAAAAAATAATACAGGTCGACTACGAATTGCTAGAACAGTAGAAGCCGAAGAACAAATTCTAAATATTGTTGAGCAAAATCCCACGGTCAGCACGAGACAAATAGCCTTAAGGTCAGGTAATTCGCCATCTAGAGTAACTAGAGTATAGCGTGAATAGTTTTGCATGGTTTTCACTTAAGAAAAGTTCAAGAACTTGCCAGGCAACGTTAGAAAAAAAAATTGAAGAGAAACACATTTCTTTAATAAAATTATTTTAACCGATGAGGCCACATTTACTCCCATTTGTATGCTAAATAAAATCCTTTTGTTGAGAATAACATTTATTAACATACATTTAAAGTCAATGTTTGGACAACGACAATGAGTAATAGATTCCTTGTATTTTTTATTTTGCCGGGCAATTTCAACGGCGATATGTATGAGTTTTTGATAAATCACTCCTTTAAATTTTAGAATTACGTCTACAAATGCGAAATAAAATAATAGTCATTTATGACGTGGCTCTGACCCAGTTTACAAGGGCTGTCAGAATGTGGTTTTATAAAAATTTTCCTGACACATAGATAGGCAGGGGTGCTGGTGCACCCATTCACTGGCCTCCTCGGTCGCCTGACCTAAATCCACTGGATGATATCTAAAGTCTAAGGTCTATAAATAATAAATTAATAATTTAGTAGAATTAAGAAGGAGAGTGGAAAATGAGTTGACAGGATTAATAAACAATGACCACATTTTAAACCGAATTATGTTTTCTCTGAGACGCCGACTGAATTTATGTATTAAACAAAATGAAGCACATTTTGAACATTTGTTGTAGTTCTATATTATAGTTTAATTATTAAGTTTTTATGTATAAAATTCGTTTATGATCAAACTTGAGATTTTGCAATGCTGTTATCATGTTACGTTAAGGCTGTTCTACCGCCTTCGAAGTTGAGAGGTACCTTACCCATTTTATATAATATCTCTGTACGCAACCCTCTATTATCTAGTCTGCAAATACATTTTAAAAGTAAAATTATTAGAAAACGGTTTACTTTATCGCATTTTTAAGAAAATCGGTAGAAATTTGTTTTTCCTAAACAATTTTTCTGAAAAGATGAAATTAAAAAAGGGGTAAGAATACCCTACACCCTTAAACTACCCTTCTTAAAATTATTTTTTTATTTGTTTTATCATGAATTCAAATAATACAATACTTTTAGGTTCACAAGAAATGTGGAGTTGATAGTATGCTTCAGTTGGAAGTTATGACCGCAAAACTGGTTTTCAATTTCCCCATTGAATGGCTTTATCTCCCTTATTTCAAAGTTTTGGACATTAGTTTATATAGCAAACTGACCTTAATTTTTATTCTATCACCTAAAATACTTGTATTTCTTTTTATAAACTTGAATATAGGAGTTAGCAATTTAAAAACTTACAATGGCTATATCTCATGAACTAAAGATGATAATATCAAAAAAGTAAAACCTTTAGGTTTAAAAAACATTTTATTTTCTACTTCTTGGCAAGAGAAATATTTAAAAACGTAAGTACTGATTTTTTATTTATAACAAAAAAATAATAAAATAATTTAAAATTTAATTTAGTTTATTTTTAAGTTTTAGCTTAAGAAATTTGAATTACCTTCTCCATTCTATATTTTAATTGGGGGTAATCCCGTTAAATAAATAAATAAATTGAAATATAAACATACTATCTTAATATTATGTACTATTGAATCACCTTGTATGGGGTATAACTTAAATCGTTGAAAAGAATTTTTCCTATAGTAGCTGTAGCTTTTCAATGATCTATGACAAGTAGGTGGTGGCAAATGGGTTGCCTAAGAAAATACGGTCACGGCCATTTTTTACTTTCCTCTCAGTGTACAGATAAGGAAAGTATAGGAATCATGATAAAAGTTGTCATTCTCTATTATTTTGCTTCTATACATTTTTTCCTAAAATGGACCTAATTTGAGATATTTGATGAAAAATGCAAATTTAGAATTTTAAAGATAACTCAAAAACGGATGAAGAGAAAAACACCAAATTTTGAACTTAAGATTTAATCTATCCTGCGATGAGCTGATTAAAGTTTAGGGCACAGTCAAAGCATTTGGGGAATACTTTACAGGGTGTCGTTTTTTTTACTTTAAGAAAATAAATAGTCTGGACCGAATTTTCTTAGACAACCCATTTGCGGTATATTTAAAAACATATTTTGTTTAATAAAAAAAAACTTTCATCCGGTAAACAGATGGGTGAAGGTCGATCTTATTTCGGATCTTAGACTATATTTTTTTATGAGCTCTGACAATGTATAAATTATAGTATTTTGTAAATACATATTGTACATTACATATATACCTATGTACATTCTTTTATTAAAACGGATCATCAGTTCATATTTTTTATTTATTGTTTTATTTATCTGTCCAATTATTTAACGACAAAAGTGAATTAATAAAGGTGTCCCAGAACCAGCTTTAAGCATTTGGTGATATCAAAAAATGCCGTTTTGGGTAATTCGTCTATTTTGCGGGACCTCGCTCTACTCGTCACATAAAATAAGGCATTTCGTAACTGTTAGCATGGGCGCCGCCACATGAGGGCAAGGAGGGCGTCCGCCCCGCTGGATTTGTATTTTTGATTTTTTG